AAAAAAAAAAAAACATATATCCACTAAACACCTTAGGATGTGCTTGGATATAAAAAGATCCAATAAAAACACAATAACTTTTCACCAATATTTTTTTAATTAAAATTTGACTTAATCTAACTATCTTCAATATTGTTAATATAATTAAATAATATCAATAAATTATTCTTATATATCACCCAGTGTTAATTCACTATTTATTCACTCAAATAATTTTAATTACTCATCATTTCCAATCACATATCTATTACTTTTACATTAAGGCCTTGTTTGGTAATCAACTGTTAGTTCTTAGCAGACCGAAGTAGCTGCTTTTACTAGCAGATTGCGTTACCTATTTTGGTCTGCTGATTGTTTTAGCGGTTCGCAACATAATGATTGGCAAAATTAACTATTTTTATTAGTTGTTAATTAACATGCAAAATTACTTTAATATTCTTATTTATTTAAAATTATAATAATTTAAAAAATAATTATTGTTTGTATTTAAAATACTTGTAAGACGCCTTAACATAACATAATCCAAATAAAAAATAACAATATATAAAAGTGAAGTGAAAAAATGTGAAGAATATTCTAATTTGACATGATAACAAATATTCAAATAAATAAAAGAAATGAAATAAAAATGTAAAATTTTGCATTTCAATTATCAACCTTTAATCTTACTCTTTCTCTTTATATTTGCACATAATTCATCACTCAATCTTTCATTTTTTACTTTTTTTTTTCTTTTTTTTTTTTTTTACAAATGACCTAATTTACTTGATTTCAAATGTCAACGGCGTTTTCAAAGAATTTTGTGTTCATTTATAATCACGCTTTGATTTTAACCGAATTTATTAATGAATCAAATATAAATATATTTTCCAAGATCATTTTGATTTTCAACCCAATATGCTAATGTGATGTGATAAAATAATATGAGGCAAAGGTGGGAAAATAATAAAGTAGAGTAGATTAATGGCAAACATGACTTTTTATATTTTTTTCTCTAACAAGTTATTTGAAAACACTTTGATTTGTAGTGTTTTGAAAAACATCATATAGAACAAAAAAACCTATTTCAAAAAGCTATTAACAAAATATTTTAAAAATATTTTAAAATAGAATATTGTAAAAGTCAAATTGTTGTTTCACATAACCTTTAATTCACTTTCCATAACTCACATATTTTTAACTACAACCTCAGTCACATCTATCCTACTTTTATTTCACATTTTTAATTATCACATTTTAAATATTACTAGTTTTGCCCTTTGTATTTGCACAAAAAGCGATATAATTAAGTAATTAAAAATATCTATTAAAACAATAATCATAACTTAATAAATGAGAAAAAATAATTTAAAAAAATGAATCTAAATATTATTAAACATTTATTTATATATAACATTCATGGTTTTCCTATCGTCAAATTCCCATCACAAAAAAATCATTATCATTAAACCCCTTTGACTCGTGACTATGAAATTTAATATTTCAAAATATTTGATGTATCTTTGTAATATCCGAATAAAATATTTTTTTTGTTATTATAAGACTACAATAGAGAATAGAGATATTTGTAGTCATTCTTAATTAGTTGTGACATACGTATTTATATAATACCAAAAAAAAAATAGTGTATCAATATAAAAACAAAAATATTTTGTATTCATAACATAAAAAGGCGTTACAGAAATGAACACCATCTAAAATGGCATTACAGGTGATGTGGCATGAGTTGGCGCACACGTGTATCTTTGTTGGCGGGAAAAAGATAATACGGTCATTATGGTGTGATAAAATTATTCTTGGTCTTAAATGACCTTTACTTAACTTAAAATAATTTATTTATTTTAAAATAATATTATTAGTCTAAAATATTTTTATTTTAATTTAAAATAAAATTATTAATCTATAAAATATCAATTTAAATATTTTTTAATTTTAAAAATATTTTTTAATAGAAAATAGTTTAATTTAATTTAAATAATATTACATAATTTATAAAATATTAACTTACATAATTTCATTTAATTTAAAATATTTTTTTAATCTAAAATAATATTATTTAATTTAAAATAATATTATTTCACCTATAGTATTAATTTAATTAATTTTATTTAATTTAAAAACTATTTTTTAATTTAAAATATTTTTTATTTAATTTATAAAATATTAATTTAATTAATTAAATCAATAATTTAATGTATTTATCGTAGACTTTTATCCATTCTGATAAACACGAGACAATTTGTATCCAAAACCTGATGTGGCAAATTGGAGGGATCAATTTGTCTACTCTCATCATCTCTAGTAAACGAGGCCTTAGTCTACATCCGAATTTTGTAATTAGTCATATTTTCCAGTGTTTTGTGACCCGGACCGGCCCGGCGGGTCGACCCGGGACCCGGTCGACCCGGAGCCGGAACCGGTCCGGGTGGGTTAATTAGACCGGGCAACAACGGACCCGGTCAAACCCGGTCAAAACCCGGTCGACCCGGCCTTGACCCGGTCGACCCGGGACAATGACTCGGCTGGGTCAACCCGGTTGACCCGGTCTATATGTATTTTTTTATTTTTTTTTTTGTTTTTAAATTTTCTTTTTCTTTTTAAAAAATAAAATTATGTATATATATTTATAT